TATATATACAAAAGTATTGACTTGGATGGAAAATTATTAAAATGGCGAGGTTATTATCAGCATTTTGCTGCCATATCTTTCTGTCTTATAAAAGGAAACTCAATTTAGTGTGCATTTAGTATATTCATTGAACATATTTCTGAATGTTTTAGGACCTTCAAAATGACAAATAATTGTGCCTTTTCACATATTTGAAAGGCACGCTGTCGTCATCTTCAGTGGATCCAAAACAAGACGGAGAGTTCAGAAATATTTTTATGTCGGGTGGAAAGTTTAAACTGCAGATGCTGAAGCTGCAGCAGCCTCTTATCACCAGTTCATGTGCTTGTGACAACACTAATACATCAGCCTGGCCTCGCTGTTCATCACAGGGCCAAAAAGCATCCATTTTTTAGAAGATATTTATGAATGGAGGCTTATGACAACACTCCCAGCAGGAAGCCTGATGTTGTGACACAAACAGATGGAAGACACTGGGCTGTGCTGATGATAAGTCAAAGACACAGTAGATCAGTACCTTTGTGGGATTTTCTGGAGCGAAACATGAAGTGATGCAGATACATTACTTTTCTCCTTCTCATTCACTTCTCAATACTTTTTAAGTTGAGCAGGTAATTAACATATAATGAAGGCAGTAACTTTGCTGGATAATTATGGTACAGCATAAGCATTTTATGTAAATATGCTTCCTAATTAGCATTATGTGATTGTGACTGGGGAACATAATTTTTCTTAGCTAAACAAAAAAAAAAGTTGTTGAGGTGGTTTAATTTCTGTCTTTCCTTCTTTGTACTATTAATTATATAAGAAAAAAAATATTAGTATTGAATGTCTGCATGTATGATGCTTAACACTGATGAAATTTTAGTATCATGTAATACTATATGATATAAGACACAATATATAGATATAATTACATTTTTGATACATCTGCAATAAACACATGTAGTAGGCTCACAATACTTAATTTTATGGCTGATGTTAAAAGTCATATGATAATTGCTGATATTATATCAATGATATGTTGACACTTTAAAATAATAAGAAGAATTAGAATTGATCACTAAAAAGTGGTTAAAAAAGATTGTTGAACAGTGAAGCTGTAAGAAGTAGAGGTAGTGAAGGTGTATGAGTTTAAATACTTAGGGTCAACCATCCAAACCAACGGACAGTGCAGAAGAGAGGTGAAGAAGAGAGTGCAGGCAGGGTGGAGACGAGTGTCAGGAGTGATTTGTGATAGAAGGATGGCAGCAAAAGTGAAAAGGAGGGTTTACAACCTGCTATCATGTATGGGTTGGAGAAAGGGATACTGGCAAAAAGACAGGAGACCGAGGTGGTAGAGTTGAAGATGTTAAATTTTCATTGGGAGTGACCAGGAGGGACAAGATCAGAAATGAGTACATCAGTGGGAGAGCTCACATTGAGTGCTTTGGGAGACAGTGAGAGAAGAGAGGCTGAGATGGTTTGGACATGTGCAGAGGCGGGACAGTGGATATACTGGACAAAGGATGCTGAAGATTGAGAAGAAGAGAAAAACCACAGAGGAGAACCATGCATGTATTGAAGAAGGACGTGCAGAGGGCTGGTGTGAAAGAGAAGGATGCTGGGGATTGGGTAAGATGGAAGGAGATGATCTGCTGTGGTGACCTCTAAAGAAGAAGAAGGTTAGTAATATACAGCTGGAAGGGATCCGGCTGGCAAAATATGAGTCAAGGACATTTTCTGCCCGCCTTCCATATGATGAATCGTCCATGTTTTATTTTGGTATTATAGATAGATGGATTGTGGGCAAACAGAAAGGAAGCATTCGCCCTCACATTCATCCAGCACCACCCCTCCTCTTATTAATCTCTCCAGCATGTGATGGGATAATTCCCATTAATGAATTTGGCCTTTAATGTTTTGTGTTCAAATTGTAAATTGACTTCATCTAAGTCTGCTCT